TAAAAAGTAAACAACTGGACATCCTATTCGTGACCCTCTTGTGAATCGGGATCTGGATCTTTGTCATCTTGATCTAGAATAGTTAATAAAAGAGTAATATACACTGGTCCATTAAGAATGTCACACTTCTCACCGATACAGAAATAAAGATTGGTAAAAATCATAAAAGATAACTAATGCAACTCTTAATTTAAGTAAATTCATTTATCATAAATAAAATTATTTATTGCATACTTACCGTAGCGAGATTTCCAAAACCGACTTATAGAGACAATAACACAAACAACATCATTGTCTCATATTCAATTAACCAGAACAACAACTTTTCATTTTTATCTGCCTACTGGTATCCATGGGGGTCCATATGGATATCCCCACTACGCGTGAACCCTTATTCAACATTGTCAACTAACCGGCCATCCCCATACCCTGTCTGATATGAGTGCTAAAATATTAATCCTCGATACCCCGTCCGGTATAAGGCAACGTTCACGGTATGGTTTTCTATGTATCCAGTCCGTCCATCATTTTTCAGGATATTCAGTAAGGGTACCATTTATTCATTCACTTAATCAAGTAATTTTTCGTTTACATTTAAATTCTAGTTTCACAATTTAACTGTAAATCACGCAAAACAAGCAATACATGTGTCAATGAAACACAACTGAATCATCTTACCAACTCCAGCGTATTATCATTCATTTAAAACTGTTAAATCAATCAATTAGTTCAAACAGGATAAACACTGATAAATGATCGGTTCTGGCTCCATTAATAACCTGTAATTAATTATCGAAGTTTTTTAAATTACGCAAAATGCTTAATACCGTATTATTTACAATTAAACTTCAATTCCATAATAGGAAATAAGGTAAGAGATTCTTACACAGATCAGTGTCTAAAATACTAAACTTCCAGCTGCGTCTACTGATGGTCCCCGAGTTCCCTGAATTTTTCTTCGGAGAGTAAAACAAGTTTCAAGTACTTAGAAATACCCCAAAAACCCAAAAATTAGTGTTAAAATTTTTTCGGCCAATTTCAGAATTCCAACACGACGGCACCACCGTTTGTGGCGGTGGTTTGCCTCAGACTGGCCGTTTTAAGTCAATTTTGGTCGATTTCAACCGATTTTATACTCATTCCTGCGAGAAAATACGTTAAGAGGCCTCGGTTGACCCAAAAAAAGTCAAAAAATAAAAACTTACTAGTGGCAGGGTTTTCCGGTGCGGCGTCACCTTCGTGGTTGTGTGTTTTTCATCGGTCAATCTGTGAAAAAACAGAATGATAAATACAATGGTGGAAAAATCGCACGAAACAGGAATCGGGAAAGAGCTCATCGGAGGCAATTTTTGATTTTTTTTTACGATAGCGCTGCTGGACTTTACCCACAGTTTCTGGCTCATCCGTCGGTTCTTTTGCTCTGATTTGGCCATGGAGGTGTTCAAAATCAAATTTCGAGTGAATGTGAAAATTTTTACCTTTTTTGACTGTCGAAGGTGGCTCCAGTGCGGCGGCGGGCTGCCAGGCTAAGGTTAAGGTTCAGTGTGAAGTGAGATATTTATACCCATCTTCCTTTAATCTGGACCGTTCATCGTGTTTGATCTCGACTGTCCGTTTGCATTTAAAAAAAATAAATCTGGACCGTTCATTTTAATTTGATATGTACCGTACGATTGTGTTTAAAGAGAAAATAAATCTGGATCGTTTATCGTGTTTAATCGCGACTGTCCGATCGTGTCTAAGGAGGGAACGGATCCGGACCGTCCGATCGCGAGCACGCAGATTGTCAGCGTGGCCCCCCACGTGGTACTGAGTCAGCGTGCCTTGCCACGCAGCGCACTCCGGTTAGTCGGGGCTGCTAACTTGGGTGGTCCCATGTGGCATATTTTTCTTAAATTACGTTTTGACCACTAATTTTTGATTTTTCTTTTAAAAATACTGTCGAACCCAAATTTTCACTCATTTTCCCCAAAATTATTTTCAATTTCATCATCCATTTATTTTTTCCTAATTTTTACATTAAATAAAAATTTATAAGTATAAAAATTATATTTATATATATTTATTTTTATTTTTATCTTTTTTTAAGAGTAATCACGAACCAAATTTCGAACCCGAGTATTACAACTCTCCCCCCTAAAAGAAATTTGGTCTTTTAAATTTGTCTCTCTCTCACTTAATCAAATAGTTGGGGATATTGAGTTATGAAGTCTAATTCTAGCTCCTATGTGGTCTCTCTTTGTGTGTGATTCTGCCAAAGGATTTTAACGAAAGGAATTTCCTAGTTACAAAGTACTATGCTCTTTCGGTCCACAATACCCACTGGTACCTCCTTGTAAGACAGATCCTCCTGTAGTGAAAGGGGCTCATGGGCCAAGACGTGAGAAGGGTCCGGATTGTATTTGCGTAGCATGGACACATGAAACACATTATGGACCCTGAATAGTTCTGGAGCAGTGCCAGTCTGTAGCAGAGGTGTCAATTCTGTTTAGATTTCAAATGGTCCATAATCGAGATTTAGTTTCTCTCTCTTGTCAAACTTACTG